ATTAACTCTAATTTATTCACCCTTCTTTTATAGCTTATGCTTGTTTTTCTCTGGAACCTCCTGTCACTCTGCATCATTCTTGATGCACAGCCCCAAAAGGGAAGGCAGAAACTCCTCTGAGGCTGTGTCAGTGCCGAGAAAGGTAACAGGTTACTTCACATGTCTTGCAAGCTGATTTCTGTTCGCACGTCTCGGTGCGCGCCATGTGTGCCTGCTTCGTGACAGCATGCCATCATTGTGCCACTACAAGCCCAAATGATCTTCCTTAGGGATGCTACCCAGCCGGTTGTTCCTCATCTGCTGTGTGTGTCATTGACTATTCCTGCTGAAGTGAGTGCCTTCAACATTCCCATATTGAAATTACCTTTTCAGATGCAAGTACTCCAAGTTGTCAAGCTTGTTTTGAATTTAATTCTGCCCTCCATTTTACTTGCAAACAATTTCAGCTTTACATGAACTGATTTAATTTAATAGCTAGTTATCCTGGTTAGTGAAAATAGAGAATGATAGTATGTTCAAAAGAGAAGTCCAAGAAAGACCTGATTTTGTACATCCTTTTGCTTAGGGAGTGAGCTACCTGTAATTACTCTCTGAACAAGACTACTCATCAGTTTGTTCTCCCCTGTAGGAACTTAATCACTGTCACACATCTCTCAAGCTTAAGATTAGTGCTGAGGTAGTGCCAAAAGCCATACTAAAGCCCAGCTATAATATCTGCTTTTTATTCCATGTCTACATAGCATTATCCCATTGGCAAAGAAAATTAGATTGATCTAACACTACTTCTGAAAGTTGTTTTTAAAAAGTTTTACTAACTATTGCAGGATTTTTTGAGGATTTGATGTTTAACTGACTAATCTATCATTCCCCAAATTCTCTTTCTTACTATGTTGAAGAGAGATGAATGCACAAGTTCCCATCTCTCTTTTAGTGTCTCCCCCACTTTCTGCATCCTCCAGGGCAGTTTCTGCCTTTCCTGAGGTTGCTTCAGGTACCTCTGGATGAAGTCACCTTTGCTAGAGAGCAGGACAATTTGCAAAACACCTTTAAGGGCTCTGTGGTAAGTAAGGGTGGAATTAAATAAAAGCTTTAAAAATCAGTAGAAAAATGATGAAACATTAACACCAGTCTCAACAGTTTACCAGTGTTACTGTACTGCCTTTTGTATCTTAACATTAAGTAAAACTTTGCTTGTCTTTTGAAATAGGCAGCACTTTCCTCATTTAGAAGATGGGAAAATAAAGACCTGAGTATATGAAAGGTTCATTCATGCCTAACTTTTGAGAGAAAAGTACACATCATCTCTTTCCAGGATGTCACACCAAAAAAAGTCAGGCTGCACTCAGCAAAAGGATTTTTAGGTCTCATCCCAAATAAATCCCTTAAGCCATGCTGCCCACCAGTAACAAACCCAGAAAGGAAAGCCAGACTCAGCATGTAGCTCCCAAACCCCTGCACAGAACAGAACCTCACTGCCTTTGCAGGAGGAAAACAGCTTCACAGGCTTCTGCATGTAGAAAAACTTAAAAAAGCCCTTTTTCCTCTCTAAGGAAAAACCAGAAAAACATATCACATGCAAAGTGTGCAGAAGATCCAGAGGAAGGGCCTGAGCTGATTTCACAGAATACAAAAATGGTGGCATTTTAGCAGCCTGAGGAGACAGGAAATACTGATGGAGAAAAAGACTGTCAGATGCTGGGAAAATTTTTCTCGTGGCAAGGCCAAAGAAAGGCCATTTATCTGGTTGTGGTTAGGTACTGCTACAGACCAGTTATCTTAGATGGTTAGGAATTGCTTAGGTATACTACACATGATCCTGTAGTTGGGAGGGTTATTATCTGGTTCTTTTCCTCTCTTTGCTGTAACTCTAAAATGCAGCAGTATTAAACCCCTTTTTAGGTAGGAACCCTCCAGTTGCTTTGTTTGTATGTCAAGTCAATTATGAAAAGACTTTCTCTAAATGAAGCAGCCACATTTTTCAGGAAAATGCAGAAAAAAATGATGTGACTCTTTCTACAGTTAGCAAAGGTGATTAAAACCTTTGCTACCTGTAGAGAGTCACATCATTTTTGATGTATCACTTTTTGTGTGATTTTTGCTGTCTAAACCTCACTGGAGGCACACTCTCCTCTCCTCCAGCCCTGTTCCATATTGGCACATAGGTACCCACCCAAAATACATTTCTTAGGATCTGCTAAGGGCAGGGAAGCCCCTTGAATTACCCGAATCCTTTGCCAATAGGACTGGAATATACTGGGGCAGATGGTGGTGCCTTCCCAGGGAGTGCTGCAAGCAAGGGGAACAGAAGGAGGAAGCAACCAAGTTGTATCATATTTAACAGAGGTATCAGAGCTGCACTTTGCTCTCCTGTCATATTACTTCCACATACCTCTTCAAGAAGTGTGACACTCTCAGTGGAAAGGCTCAATGGGAAATATTTTCTTGGTTTTGTTACTGAAAGAGCATTCACTTTCTGACTGGCTTTGGCTATGAACATAGCAATCTCAATCAAGCAGGTGGTACACAGGAGTGATCAGAAATTCAATGTGCAGCCACCTCATTTCCCTCAGAAAATGGAGGCAGATAACTTTGAAAGATTAGACACCTGACCACACATTTAAACTTGCATGAAAAAAAAAAATGCTTCAAGGAAATCTATGCACTTAGCAATAGGAATTTCTCACATTAAAAAAATTAGATAAGATTTAAGGAAGAAATTCTTCATGGTGACAGTGAGAAGGAACAGGTCACCCAAAAAAGCTGTGGATGCCCCATCGCTGCCACTATTCAAGGCCTGGTTGGAGGGGACTCTGAGCAAGGTGATCAAGTGGAAGCTTCCCTGCCCATGTCAGGGAGGATGGAACTACAGGATCTTTAAGGTGCCCTCCAACCCAAACAATTCTATCATTTTCTCTGATTCTTCTTGGCCTTGATCTATAAGGCCAAGAAGACACAGAGGAAGTACTCATATCTCTTTCTCATTGCCTCCCAGGTGGCAAACTAAGCCAACTAACTATCTGGGGTCAAGCTGTTGGATAGAAATCACAAGCTGATCCTGCCTTACTATCTGCTCCTAAGAGGGCTGGTCATGGAATCAGATGCAAGAGCTGACATTACTCCTGCTCCAAGCCGTGGCAAGTGCAACCATCAATTCCTCTGTGCTTTCCCCTTCTGCCTGAAGAAAGGAAGGGACACAGTATTTTCCAGAGTTGGTCGAATGAGCAGCTAATCAGTGAAAGCCCAGAGGCAGCCATCTGGGCTAGCAGCTACTAGCCCTCCCTGCCAGGCTGGCTCATGCCCTTTTGGCACTAGCCACACTTCATTTTTATCTTGTGGTTTACAGAGGTGGGCACAGTCTGTTTGGGTCCTGAGTCGAGCTCACAAGGATGTTTTTAGCTGAAAGGACACTTCAGAAAGATAAATTAGTTGTGGGAGGCAGTGCTTTCCATGTGTCCTCCCTGAACAAAGAGATGCACAGTGGTCTCAGCAATGGGGCTAGCACAGCTCTCCTCCCTTTAGGAGGGAAAAAAGGGACATGTTATCTTGCACAAGGCAACCTCAGTGCAACGTGTGGAATTTAGAACTTTTCTGAGTCAACAGGATGGAAAGGGCAGACAGTGCTCACAACCTGACATCTAAAAGCCACCAGTGTAAAATTCCAACAGATGAGCACGGTCACTGCCTTTCCTGTGCCATCAAAACTGTAGCTGCCTTAAGATCTCACCACTACAAAACACCACTTCCCCCTAGCTCTGGCAGCTGCTCGGTCACCACTTGCTTGGCTCCCAGCCCAAACAAGGACAGCCCCTCACAGCCATTTCTGCTTTTCACCTCTTTTTCTCATGTTCTGGCTGGTGGCTGGTGGCCCCTCAACCACCCTGACTCTGCTCTCCTTTTGATTCACCCTGCCCTACCAAAAGTGTCAGGGGTACTGTGGGTGGCTCCGAAGTGAAGCAAAAACCTGCTTTTGTCAAGTTTAGGATTATTATTTCTAACTGTATTCTCCAAGCCACAGTGGAAAGAATTATTTCCTTCTGAAGGATGGAGAGCTGTGACAGAGTTTATGTTTCCATCACAAAGGTGTCTTGGGAAGCTAAAAGAATCATAGAAATTTTTAGGCTGAAAAAAGCCTGTAAGATCAACAAGTCCTGCTGATGACAAAGTACAGTATTTGATTGTAATGCATAAGACATATCCATTTGCACACATAAAAAATATAAGCTACCACATCTCCCTAGGTATATAGAGTGCCATGCCAAGGGCATTTCTGGTGCAGAAATATCCACAGTTTACACTGACTCCAGTGTTACCAGTCTTGCTCTGGGAATCACTTAGCCACCTGATACTGTAGGATACCTACCCCCACATATAGGTACTGTGGGGATCTCCACAGTCACTGAAGTAATGTGAAAAGGGGGTTGCAAACTCGCCCCAGTTCAGTATGGGTCATGCAGACATGTGTGCACACCAAAAGGAAAGGACATGTGAAAAGGCAGCCTTTGCAACCCAGCTATCCAGAGATGGCTATTTAGACCACAAAGACCTCTGGCCCAAGAATGGACCAACCACTCTTAAGAATAGTTTTCCAGGAACTGAAATCAATGAGAAGACCCTGGGAAAATCTGAAGGGAACTGTGCCTTCCTGCCACTTAAGCAAAATGCATCATGAACCCTAAGAAACACTAGGACCTCATAATATCCCATTTCCAGATCCCAGACCTGCAGACATTAAAGCCAACTTTTCAGATGTCATTTACCACAGAGTGAAAACATGAACTTTGGGAAGCAGCCAGTCAAAAACAAAATCATAAGATAATTCCAGATCCCATGACGACCTTGCAAAATCTTCAGTGACTGATTCAGCAAATGCTACAAGTATTTTGCAGAACAGCTGTTGAAATAGATAAAGGAGCGATTTATGATGTGAATAGCAACTCTCAGCTCACCAGTGAAGTAAGGAATGAATTAGTCCAGCAGGCAAACAAAACCTGGATACATACCAACACAGGTGTGTCCTTTGTACAGCCCAAAGGGGAGTGAAGGGGCTCGTGGGTCTTTTCCATGGGGTAGAGGGGAGGAAGAGGCAGTCTTCAGCAGCAGCAAGAGCCAGAGGATGCAGAATAAATTAAGGAATGTTTGCCTAGACTCCTTCATCCTAAGGAAGTAAAAAAGGAAGAAATCAGGCGGGAAGGGTGCAAGTGGACCTGTATTCCCTTAACTCTCAGGGAGTATCCTGCATCAGTGCAGCTTGAGGGGAAGAAGACTGGTGTGCCTGTGCAGCTGTAAGTAGCATAGGGACAGACTCCCAGGTGGGACAGAGATGTTCGCCCTCTCATGGAATGCATGGAGGATCCCACACTCGCACATCGCAGGTGCTCTCCCAACCCCTCAGCCCCTCTCAGGCCCTGCCACCCACTAAACCCAGCAGGTCCCACACGCCTGGGCATGCTGAGAGCATTCCCCTGTGGCCCTGGCCCCAGGCTGCTCTCCACACCCCCACACGACCCCGCTGCTCCATGTGCAGCTCTTCCCAACCTGCTGGCCTGGCAGACCAAGAGGGTTGGATGCACAGCTCTGGCTCAGCGCTCCGGTGTCTCCTGCAGCAGCAGCGGATGACTAACGACCTTGAACCACAGGAGTTGCCAGAGCCACTCAGCATTAATAACACAAGACACTCCCCTGAACAACTAGTGTTGCAAAAACGGAAAAAGAAAAAAAAAAAAAAAACCGACTCTACAAACCCTTCCCCCTGTGCCGTCACCTCTCTGCCCTCCTCCGCAGAAAAGAAAGAAAGTATCTCTCTGGCTGCATCTGTAAAATTTCTGACCAAGGTTTCCGTTCGGGAGGACTGAGCGTGAAAAATGAAAGAAGCTGCTCAAGACAGAGCTGCAGGGCTGGGAGGGACGGGGCTGCCATGCTGGGGTTTTGCCAGGGCTTTATTTCTGCTGGGACTGAGCCATAGGGATGGGAGACGGCTGCCAGAGTGAGGGTAGCACTGGGAGCTGAACCCCTGCTCCCATCAGCTTTGAGCACACTCGCTTGCAGCTTCCAGCTGCCTGAGAGCCTTGAGAAATCCTGTGCTGTTCCTGCTTTGGCAGTCACAACAACTAAAGGTTTCCCTGGCTCTACTTTTTTTAATCCCTCAGACAAGGCATAAACAAGTCATTCCCCAGCCTGAAGCAAAAGCAGAGTAAAACACATTTAAATTATGTGAATTCAGAGGTGGAACAAGTCCAAACAGCTACATCCCAGACTCTGGATGCAAGGATGGCTTGAAGGAGGCAGTTTAGGCCTGAGGCGCTGGAGGGACAATGCTGTGTCCTTGGTCTGCCTCTGCCTTTATGCATAAACCTGGGCAAGTCTCTTCCCCTCTCTTGCCTCAGTGGGCAATGGGTACCCATCTTTCCTTTTGATTCCTTGTCTGTCTCTTTCAGAAGTGGGCAGGCCAATGACATGGGTTGCTAAAGGACAATGAGGAGTCTGTCTCATAAAGTATCCCTCCATTCTTCCCAGGAATAATTAAAAGAGACTTATAAATAGTGTTGTAAAAAGAAAAACTAGAGAAGGTATCAAAACCAGCAATTTCCAGCCAGTTCCTGCAGACCGACATGATCACACATGGATCAGATCTGCTTCAGTATTTAATGTGTTTTTTGCAAACCACTTCCTTCCTTGGGAGCCTCCACTATGACTTTTTAAAGACGGTCCCAGAAAATTTGCCTCAACTTTGATAAGAAGGATTTGCCTTGTGCTAATTATGATATAATCCACTGGCTCTGGGGGAAAAAAAATAAGACTACAAAATCTTCAACGTGAATACAAATCATTCTGTATTTCCATTCCTTAAGCCAAGCCATTTGCTTTCAAATGTATGCTTTCTTTTGAAAAATATAAAAATAATTAAACCCAAAATGAAGGTAATAGCTGTTGCCTGAGTTTTGCTAAACTGTTTCTGTTTATCATTCTCCCTATAGCTAGCAATGCTGGTTTTCTTTATTTTTTTAAGAGCAGATAAACAAAAATCATAGTGCAAAGTACCTTATCCATATGCCAATCCTACTGAAATCTGCAGGATGTTTTTCTTAACGCTGTAAAAACTTGCTATAAAAAGACACTGCTACAGCGACTGCAGCTCCATTAAACCCTTTTTAACACACATATCACTTGGTTCCCAATGACACTTTGAAGTCCTCTAAAACTCTGCATATTGGCTCATGAGCACTTGCTGCAAAAGCAGGGTGCTAATAATAGGCAAGAAAAGCCTTCCTAGCAGAGAGGTCTCCAGAATGGCTTCTGCTTTATATCTATTGCAAAACACAAAGCAAAACAACAGCACTTATAAAGTACAGAGATAGATCCCAAGCTGCTCCCAGGCATGTAAACCTGCAAAGCATGTAGCTCAAGCCTGTAATCAGCTGTGTTATTTTTTTTCATTTTAGCCTGTAGAAACAGTGGCGAGATAACTCTGTGTGTAACATAGAGCTGCTTTGAGCTGTACCTTACACGTTAGTCAAGCTCTTAAACCAACCAAAGAAAAAAAGCCCCCAAAACTTTTAAAATATGCAGTCTGGTCAGAGAATGAGGGATTTGCATACTTAGATTTGGAGGCCAGCTGGGAAGGTGAACCCGCCCCACTGGCTCCTCCCCAGACCGGTGTGAAATCTTTTTTCTTCCCATTCAAATCAGATAGCAAATCCTGCCTTTTGCCAAGCAGATTTTATATTACTTCCAAGTCCCTGACACATTAAGACCTAAAGCTGTCTTGGTACAGGAGCAGAGGAGCTCTTGATGTTGCCTTTTAATCTTAGTAAGTGCATAAATGAAGTTAATGGGAGGTAAAAAAACAAATCAAACCTGTCCCAAAGGAAGGGATTTCATCATAAATGCTTCCATTAGGTTGTGCACAACACCCAAGTCAGAGAAGTAGACCTAGGTCAAGGGTGACCAAGGAGATGCTGCCTGCCTAGAAATAAAGTATATGAGAGCTGGAACAAAGAGAGCTCTGCCCTCTGAAAAGCACCAGGTGCAGAGAGGTGATGTCTGGGGTGTCCCCTGCCCAAAACCGTCTGGCAGGGTCACCCTACAGCTTTTGACCACCTTTGTCTCCTCAGCTCTATTGTTTTTTCAATGTGTTTGCAACCTGGGCTTGCAGCAGGTTGCGCCAGGTGGCAGAGGAGCGTAGTTCAGGGTTCTCAGGGCTGGTGGGGCTGCTCACGGTTGTTACAGCCTATGAGTGCCTCAGAGCCCTGACACTTTCCTTTTGTGACCACGAGAGCCAAGTATGTGGAGGAATGAACACTGAAGAAATGCTCCTGCACACCCCACTAGGTACCTGCCTGCAGCATTACTCACCTAAATAGTGCTGAAAACGCAGTCAACCTTTTGTGTCTCTGAATCTCCGCATGTGGTTTTTGAAGAGAAAGCAAGGACAGGACAGAGGCAGAGGTACCGTGAGTTCACCACCTCTTGAAGATGGGAAACCCTCAGTGCCCTGAAATAACCCAGCTCCACAGTCATTTGCTTGCTATTAGGCAGAAGACAGAGTCAGTTGAATTTTTTCAAGGTTGAATTTGGGCTGGTGATAATATATGCATAAATAAACACACAGGTATATCCATGGTATACGATGGCCCATCCGCTGCTGCTCCCTGCTGAGGAAATGGGAGGGCCCACAGCTCCCTCCATTCAGCACACAGATCAGGAGGGATGTACATTACTTGGCAGGGTTTTGGTTAAATCTGCTCTGAAGGAAAGTCCTGCAGTTCTCTGTATTTGCTCTCAGGATGCCAGAACACACTGAAGAGCTTGCTCAGCTCACCCACCTTGATCCAGTCTATGTTTTTTGGGAGTTTTAGCACATGTGGGGGTCCCCAGAGCTAAATCTCAGTTACCATATCCTCATGTACAGGCCAGTAGCAAGTGTGATGTGTGGGGGGACACAACACGTAGGGGAAGGCTTTGGTTGGGGGTCACCAGAGAGGCAGCAGGGGCTAATGGGCCATGGAGTGCCCCACTCAGTAACTCCTAGCCCAAGTGCTCCAGCCACACCCTCAAGCCTCTCTCAGTTTAAGCAGAGCTGAGATACTTGCACATGTGATGGCTGCCAAAACCTGAGGCAAAGCATGAAAAGACAAGCCTGAATTTCCATGATGGCAGAGCACTGTTAGGGTACATGCATAGCTGGTGAAGAAATACAGTCCTCTAGGCTGATTCCAAGAGCAGGAGTGTGGTTTCTGGAGTTTGAAGGACGCACAACAGTTCTCCATTTCTCATGTTTCCATAGGAGTTCCTGACACCTAACGTATTTGGTTTGTGTGGTGGTGCCAAATCAGCTAAGGGACAGGTCCAGTATCAGCTTCCATCTTTGCTAACCCTGAGAGAGATGCAATGGAACTGAGTTAGGGTTTCTGATTTTCTGAGTAAGGTCTTCAACACGATTTAAGAGTCACCCCTTCCCTGTAGGGAGCAATACATGATTGCCACTAGAACTGTGAAATGAGATGTGAGGATGAAGTTAGTTTCAATGCTGCTTTCTATAATGGGTCCCTAAAGATCTGTTTATGTATACAGAAAATACATTGGAAAAAGCCATTGAAAAGAAAAGAGAATGGAAAATACTTCAATGAAGCCCCAAAACAGGACAAACAAGAATTGATTTGCCATCTGTCAGTATTAGAGGCCACTTAGTTGAAAAAAGAAATACAAAGTAGTTATCTTACAAAAGGAGATGAGATGGCAGTGTATATTTATCTATCCTATTCTGCCCAAGCCACTGCACACATTACTGCAATTTTTCTCCTGTTTGGTTAGATTCTTATGCATATTGATTTTTATGATACATGCTTTTTTTCTCTTTCTCACATTTATGCATGCATTTTTATGATGATTAAATGTTATCTTGGAAGGTTTTCTCTCCCTTTCTTTCCTCTTTGACATGCTGTTCAATTCTTATGGGAATAGATATAAGCCTTGTATTTTTGTGTCTGGAGAGATAACACCTGCAGGAAGAAGCCTTTAGATCAAAGATCCTCTCAGTCCCTTTTCTTCCTTTTATTTTCAAAACGTTGTCCTTTGTGCCCTTTGACTCTGAAGTTCCCAGTGGTTTCTTGCATTGGTTATTTTTCATTACTGCTCTCCAAATTTCTCTGACTGTCATAAGCATCTCTGCAGTTGGTGCATTATCACTGGCACGGATGAACATTTCCAGAGCCCCATGTGGATTTGTGGCTGCACCACAGCCAACTGAGTCATTCCCTCTGCCCCCGTTTCCTTATCAGTTGCTGCTTGTAGTTCAAGTTATGCGTCTATTTCAGAGTCTCTCCATCTCATTGTCATTCAAAGCTGCAGGGAAAGCATTAAAACCAGTATTTTCTTACACTCATATCCAAAAATTTGTTCCAAGTTATTACCATGCTGTAGCTGAGATGATTATCCTTTATTCTGCCACCTTTAATGAAATTAATTGTCCCAGCTTGCAAGGGTGTTGATATCTGCGCTCTTAGAAACGTAAATCGCTGACATGACTTCAGTTTGGATACAACAAAATGTGGGAACGAACCTCTTAAGGATTTCAAAAAGGGAACCCGTGAAAAATACAGCTACACCACCTTGCACAATTATTGTGCAGGTTGTGCACTGCTGGGAAGGTCTGGCTGTTAG